ATTGAATACCTAGTTCATAATTTAGCATAGCCTGTCATGAGATGACAGGTACAATGGTGACAGTAGAAAAGCAATTTGTCAGCTTCTTTTCGTCCATGGCTTATTGCTTCTCTATACGACTGCATTGACAAGGGAGAAGTTGATGCAGTTTACAGCGATTTCCAAGCTATTTAGTCCGATTAAAAATAATTTCTTTATAAATTACCAATCCACCAGTTTAGCAAAGCAAATAACTTTATTTGTCCTCTTGGATTGGTCTATTATTGCCTCCCACATGCTCAGTCCAGTCAAATGAGGAATCCTTCTTGTGGGACCAGGTTAATTTTTTCCTTTTTTAAACTTTAGATCGTCTCCAGGGGCAGTGATCAGGTCGCTATGACGACTAAATTTGACAGTCGCGAGGATTTGGGTGATTTTTTTCCCTTTTACTTACCTTCTTAGGCTTTTTTCGGTAATCTAAGTTCAAAAAATTAATCCTACTTCCAATTCCCTTTGCATAGCTGTGACTCGCAACTATGGTCACTTATTGGTGGAAATGTCAAGTATAGTTCCTGACGGCATTGTGGCATTTTTCCCCAGTTACCACTACTTGGTAAGCCCACTTTTATCATTGAGATTTTGTTACTTAAGAGGAATTAGTAGCGTGTTTGGCTGTTCTATGTCTCGACAGTTTTGGCTCCCGTAGTAGAAGCATTCACCAAAATACCGTTATGCATTTTCGAGCTGTTTTTAAAATTCCTTTAAAACCGTACTCACCACTTTTCTTAGTTTAGATAGTAATTTAAAAGGTTTTCTGCCTATCTTTTGCTTTCGGATAAAATTTTATAGCAAATGACGTTTGCCACAATGAGTGATTTGTTCGTGTGCAATATATGCTGCGCTGCAACGAATATCGAGTTAATTATCGTCACCATACTTACCTGTAACTTTTGCCTAGGTGTAAGAACATTTAGCTCTCAAGCACTTCATAACTTGTTCCTCTATGTAAAAAATTAATGAGTACAAAGTTCTGCCTTTTCTCTTTATAGGAGTCTACATTTGCGACGTGGTACGAACAGGTAGCGTTCTAGCCAAATTACTATCATGAGGGCATCCTCAAAAGAGATTCACTTAAAGTGCCTTTCTATCTGGCATTTCAGAATTTAATTCAGAAAATCCAGCAACACAAGCTCCTCTTTGTTGAGACGCCGGACAATGAGGAGACCAGCTTGGCCCTGGCTAACTATCAAAAGGTGAGGGGAAGAATGCATTGTCGGTGACCTCTTGCATTTCTGTTCTCTTTCACCAATCAAACCCTAAATTTCTGCTATTCGGATGTTGGTTTTAATCGGTGTCTAGAGATGGCAGATATCCGAACCTTCCACAGCAGTAATAGAGAACTGGCTTTGTTTAACATAAAGACTCTGGCTACCACTTTCAATCTTCGATGCAGAGAGATCGCGTCACTGTCTTAGTGCTTTGGGACTTTGTGAGACAATTGGTTTAATTACAAGGGTAACAGTGCTATCGCTGTTTTTATTGCTTGCTCCAATGTATCGGTGCTCGCATTTGTTTCTGCCTTGTATACTTTTCTAGTAGACGTTGATGTCGTTATAACGCAGAACCGCTTAATTGTCATGGTCTAGGCACCTTCATGTGGGCCTTACAAATTGCTGAATAGTGTAACGCTTTCGGATGCGTAGTGTGCTCGACTTCTCATCAGCCCTACTTTGCTGTCTTTTATGTCTGTGTGGTCTTTTCAGGCCTGTGAAAATGGTCGAGGTGCGATACTTCTCTCTGTTGCGCGGGGAAAAGTATCCGAGGGAATCGATTTTGGTGAGTCCCTTTTCCATCATTAGTGTTCACCCTACAGGTGTCTCTTGCTACCTCCATTTGTTTCAGACCATCACCTGGGTCGATGCGTCATAATGTTCGGCGTACCCTATGTTTACACCCAGAGTCGTATCTTCAAGGTCAGTTTTTGCTTTACATGGCTTTCAAAGTATTAGTGGATCTTCTTTGGGCCTTTTTTATTCGAGGCAAAGCCCAAGTTGTATTTCATGCTCCTCTGATTTCATACATCGCATCAAGGGCATTGTCAACAAAGCAAACCCAATCTAACTACCTATCGTCGCTTCTGCTTCGATTCATGTTGTTGAAGTGACTCGATACAGCTCTCATTTTGGTGATGCAGGCTCGCCTCGATTATCTGCGTGAGCAGTATAACATTCGCCCAAACGAATTCATCACCTTCGATGCGATGCGTCATGCCGCACAATGTCTGGGACGCGCTATTCGAGGCAAATCCGACTACGGCATCATGATTCTCGCGGACAAGGTTAGCAACTTATAAGAATGTGACATCGTATACTTTAACTCTGCTTCGAAATATGGTGGATGTTATTTCTAACACTCAAATAGTTTATTGACTGCTATCTCGTGATGTTTACCATGGCTTAAAGAGTGGTTTGACTTTTCCTGCAAGAGACATTACTTAGTTAGTAATAAGTTCATGTCGCATTTTCTGACTGTCGAGCTCCAGCTTATTTGTGTGGATATTTAGTGAGAGCGAATAGTTTTGCGCTAGGTGAGTTGCTTTTGACTTCATTTGTGAATATTACTCAACGTTTTTTTTTGGAATTCTTCAGGATTGCTCCTCTCCACTTTTTTACTTAGGGTAAAGTCGTTCATTGGAATCGCCTTTGGCACATTCGGTGTAAATTTTGGTGAATTTTGACCTGCGAACAAATCCGCCTCCCTATGCTGATTTTTAGCATCAAATGTAATGCCAACTGATGTGAGTAGAGGGTTTTTACATTCCACTCCCATCCTTATCCGTTGAATACTCTCAGAACCGGGGACTTCGTCCGCACCCGAAGGACATAGTGGCATGGTGCTTTGGTGTAGTCTCACTCCATCACTTCACTCACAAGGCAATTAACACAGCATTATAGAGGAAGCTTCCCATACGTGGTGCATGTGCTGACCTCATTGACAGATAGAGCACAAATCCACATCAACTGTATCTTCGGTATGCGTCGAAAGCTGGCATTTCGATGCCTTAATTTCAAGCGCTTTTTTATTTCGCAAATTCATTTAGGCTTGTCAAAGTCGCTTATGCACTGGGTAGTAGGCGGAAATTGTGAGTTGTTTTGATCATTCCTATTAAAAGTGATGTTCTTGGGCACCTCTCTGTGACTGTTTTTATTGATGAGTGCCTTTTATGCTACGATCGTTTGCGGTGTACTCTGGGTCACTGAAACATTGCGGCTATTTCCATGGCGCTGTTCATCCAAGAAAATGTTCGTTAACAAAACGGAACAGACCCTCTGGGCATGTATGGAACTGGAAAGGAGTAATTTTTTGTCACTTCATCACCTATTATCAATGGACTTGATCTTTGTCCTCTTTACAAATCTGCCGTTATCACTTCGTATTACCTCAGATTTTGAAGATTTAAGGTAAAGAACTAAATCGTTTTGCGTACTTCCGATGTCGTTCTTGCAATTAGCTTTACTATTGAGGAAGTCATTATGGTCTCCTTAAAAACTTGTTGCGTCATTATCAACCAGCATATAACTCACAAACTGTGCAACAAACAGTAAAGACGCACCATTGCTTAATCATTCATTCAAATGGTGAGTAGGTCCATCTCAATGCAGCATCAAATGTGTAAGCGTGCGGCTTGGTATGCTAAAACCTTTGTGGACACTGTGCATTGGAGGCACCAAGCGAAGCCAACAATCGGTCAGCTGTCAACAGTCCTTCCACAACCAGTTTGATACAAATTCCTTCACGCATCCACCTGTCATCAGCTTCTATCCCTCTATGATTAGGCATGGCAAGGAGACTGATGAG